TTGTATTTAGGATAGCAATAGCCTACTTTGTAAAGATACTTGATGTACTGACTACAAATCGAATGATTAATAAATGTCGTGCATCTAATGCCCTTAGCCAATTTAAAAAAAAAAAAAAAAAAAAAAAAATCTTATACTATAGAAAACAGAAATTTAAGAATCTTTTAAGACTTGTTTTAATTCTTTGGCCTTTTGAGATGTATTGCTATTCGGATCGGTCAATACTATTCTTTCAGCAACAAATTTTGGTGCATTATCTGGATCCATATCATCTGAGTACTTAAAATCTCTATTAGTCCATGAACTACTAACTTTAGCATCAAGTTTTCCTGTTCCGACTTCCACACCTATAGTGCCTACTTGATAATCAATTAATATCCCATTTACGATAGAAGTGTGGGATTCATCGGTAGTATAATGCACATCAACAATTCTTGTTTCTGGATCGTTAAGAATTTGCAATGGGTCATTACTAAGATTTTCTCCAACTTTAACATAATCTAATGTTATATGAGTATTATCTTTGGTCATCATATTTCTGTTTTGTCTTATTTTTTATAGGTGTTTGGTGAGAAATAATCACCCATATATATAATAGTATACACACAATTCAAATTAACAGATTATCATTTCATGCACTGTATAGATAATCAAGAAATTTCTTGGCAAAAATAGTCGGCATTACGAAACGTTATCAATATTCACATATATATATCAGAATGCAGGAGATATTCCGAATGAAACCATACGCTTATATGCAAAAATTCTCCAATGCCCATATGGGAGGCCTCGTATTTCATCTAATAAAATCTAACGCTTATTATCGTATAAATTTAGCCCAATTTTATTTACTCATTCCAAATATATTTCGTAATCATAACTGTGAAGACTATATATATCTTGTCAGATTAGTTTCTTAGTCCTGAAACATTCTAAAAATTTATCATGCCAAAGCTCTTTTTTAACTACACATTTCTTAATGCCTTTAGCCTTTTGCATTCCATGCTTTTTCTGCCAGTCTTTCACACCTTGAGATTTTCTAGATTCTTCTTCCTTTAACTTTTTTTCGAAATCAATATCTGTTTCAGAAGTTTTTGAATCATTCCCAGCTGGAAGGACTGAATACATTTTTGGTTTCAAACATACTGACTCACCTATTGGATTTCTCTTTGTTTCATTCTTCATTAAGAACAGATCTCCTGAATAGTCAAGATCAAAAATATCTGGTCTTTCGGCTCGATCTTTATAAATGTCCTCTGTCTTAATCCATATAATAAGAGAATCTGTATCTGTATAAAGTAAATGGGCCTTGTCTCCATAGTGAGGTTTTATATAACTATACCAGAAATTATACATCATAGCTTTGCTAATATCAAGAATTGCTTGTTCTATAAATATCGGCTTATTCAAAGTAACTATATTTTTTAATATGTGGACAGCTGTAATCCCACCCTCGAATACTTTGAAACCTACAAATAAAGGTGAACTAATGAAGCATGTCAGTTTTTTGTCCTGATCAGATTAAAGTATTTCTACTCTCATGTGTTTGCGAACATTCTCCATTTGTTTCCCAAATATGACATTATTTTTTAGCTTGTAATATATCACACCGAATTCATCCTTATTAGACTTAGCTATCTTGCGTTTGCGAATATTTTCCTCAATATACGTTTTCATCCATGGAGATTGTCTAAATTTTAATGCTACATGGATTTTTGTAATTTTTAATCCATACTTCATGTATAGCTGGAGTGCTTGATAATGAACTACATAATTTTTCTTCGGTAAAAAGGTTTGAAGTAACTTTTCGCCTGATACGTATTTTCCTCTTCTAAACTCTTTATCGCGTACTAACCTTTCATTATACAAACTAAGCCAGTTTTCTGGTATTATTTGTTTCTCTGGAGCTAATGGATAATCTGCAAAGAAATTGTGCAAGTTTATTAAGGCCTCTATATCAGTCTCTAACATATATCCTATTTCTGCATCCGAAGCAATGCTTTGAATAACAGGTATTTCCTCTGGAGTTACCTTATCCAAAATTTTCGTAGGCAAGTATTGCGTCATAGCTCCTGAGTATAAAGCACTCATATCTTCATATATAATCCATGATTTTGTTTTACTAGAGTTGTAGTCGGGACATTTCTCGTTATTTGCCTTAACATATCGATGGCTTACTATTGTCATTCCTCCGCGAATTCCATTTTCAACTGTTAAATACTTGTCCATATCTGATATTAACTGGATTTTGACTCCGCTACTTTTGTATAGTGAATCGTTAAACATTCCTGGTACTGAAACGTAATGGAAAGAATCCAAGCCATCATCCTGTAAGCATATAATTGTATAATTCATAAAAACATCTGCAAGTAAAAGTACATCCGTTTCAAGATATAAGTCATGATACTCTTCAAAATTTTTCATTCCGAACGTTTGCCAAACTTTTTGTGCATGCTCATAATTAGATTTGCTAATATTTTATTGATAGAGTAGAGAATAGAAATCCTTTCTGCATGGAAGATTTGTACATTCAAATTTTTCCCATGTATTTGTCCAGTTATATGGGAAAACACCTTTTTGTTTTATTAATAGATTGATTTGATCTAATGAATACACCTTTTTAGTGAAGTGCTTGATCGATAAAGGAAGTTTCTCAAGCTTTCCGCCAAAGGTCTAAACAAGTTTATCAAGACTCATTGCCATATGTTGGAAGCTATCAAGAAAATAGAATTGTTTTACATCCATGGCCTTATACTTACCTATATTTTCTGAAATACACTTTAACTTATTTGTTGTAAATCTACTAACAACTTCTATGAGTAGATGCAAATCGTATTCTCAAAAACTATGACATATGAGTGGTATTTTAGTTTTAAATGCTCATATTTGTAACTTTTTATTACATGCATAATGGGCTGGTCCTCTATATTTTCCACTTATATGATTATGATCTTTCACTTTACGATTAAGATTACTTAATACTTGTTGATATTTCTTTTATACGTCTTTCTTTTTGGAATGATCTTTTTTCATATGTGCCTCCCATTCTTTACATTCTAACAATTGTTGTTTTGCTTCTTCGAATTGTTGTAAAATTTCTGGTGCTGGCTCAATAAAGGACTTCTTACAAATATAGCATTCTATTGCTTTATTAAATGTTATATGGTCTCCTGGTTCCATAATTATTTCCGCAGGTGATGACAAATCTATTTGAATTTTTGCTAGCTCCTCTTCAAATTTATTTACAAACCTTTCTAATGCATTTGATCCTCTATATAAATCATAGCTTGTAATTTTGTAATTACTAAAACTATCCATACAGACTACTACATAACTATATCCACAAGGTTTATGCCTTTGAGGTTTTTCAGTATGTATTAATTATGCATTTTCTTCTGAAGTTAACTTTTCTGTTAAACATTATAGATCCCAAAATATGCGATATGGATTTGCTTGTATACATTTATAATTATTAAATTCTTTTATACTTTTTTCCAATATAGGAACTTTTGGTATTTGAAAAACAGCATTTACTCCTAAACATTTCTTGGAATTTGTTATATGTTCATTAAATTCTTTTTCATCTGAATATACATGAAGACAGAAATGACATAGATATTTTCTTTCTTTGTGTTTACTATAATTGTAAACTAATCTATTGAGATTCTTGATTATACAATAATGTGTTTGAGGATTTTTTAAGTCATCAGCTTCTGAAATAACTAAAAGATTTACCTGCTTAAATTCTGCACTTTTTCTTTCTGAAAGATATTGGAATTCAAGACACTTATTTTGATTAGACTATTCATAAACACAAAGACTAATCTCGGGGTTATTCTCTTCGAATTTTTGGTAAATGGGTATAGAGACTGGTATTGGAATCAGAATGTTTTTTATATTAATCCCCTCGATATATTTAGCATATATTCAATGAGGATTTCTTTCTGGATGTACTTTAACAAGATGTAATGCTCCTAAAACACACCATTCAAAACACCAGTCATCATTATTTTGCATATTTATAATGTCATTATTATGTTTTTTTTTTTTTTTTTTTTTTTATAGTGGAACGTGCGCACGGCATGTAATCTTTATTGATATATTATATCTAGATAGACACCAAGTGTCTTCTACGTAACGGTTTTTGAATAAAGTTGTGTTACAACCTTTATGTCTTCTACAGTTAATCTGCAGCTTAACACTGCATTAGTACATATATTTCTATAAGACTAGCTACGCTAACCACTAATGTAACCTGGCTATGCATTCAACTATCACGTAAATATGTTCACACTTCAGATGGAACTTTCGCAGGGGGAATTTTACCACTAGTTTAAACCTGCCTAAACCTGCTGGTCCATTATTGCAGGGAGCAAGTTATTATGGAATATTATTATAGAGACTAACCCCAGTATTCCAGTCACTGTTATCACTGATCCTCGGAAGGTGCCACTAGTATAGCATCACACTATTGTTTTCACTACCTGTGGAACTAGCATCCTTGCTTGGATTCCAATTTAATCTTATAGATCCTCACTAGACTTACTTGGCTTTTAACAATTTTTGTCTAGTCTTCTCACCACCTGTAGCTGATGTCTTGCTCTTCAGCCATATGATTAAGTTCCATGGAATACTACTATTGGGATAGATCTACAAGCTCCAGATTGGGATAGATCAGCTTAGAATTAACCTTTTTATGTTGTATAATGGAGTCTATCGTCACCAGTTTGGGTTGGAGTTTGTGGGCTTATTACCAGAGTTAGACCAGAAGCCTTTCCTCATACAACCTTTCTTGCTTTGACCTGTTTTTAGCCTGCAATTGTCGGAAAGACCAGAGGTCCCATCTTCATGCAGCCTAACTAAATTTGGAAGTGAATTGTCAGCTGATTGGATACGACATGAATTGGAAGCTGGTCAACCAATTATAAAGGTGATAAATTTTTGTAACCAGGTGGGATTGAACCCTAGACCTTTTTCCGGTGATCTATGGAGCATTACCACTATGCTATAGACCCATAGGTAGCATAACTTATTATCTTGTTCTTTCTATTTTAATTAATTATATTATTAAATAAAAGTTATATAAGATAAAACATATGAGATTTATATATCTTGTTTATATTTTTTGTTACAAGTAACTTAATTAATTCAAATTTCAAATCAATTTTTATTCAAAAATTCTAGTGTAGTCAAAAATTTAAGATCAAACTAAAGTAGATAAAATTCTTTAAAAAAAACAAAAAAAGATTTATATGCTTAAGAAGATAGATAAAAGGCTTAAGTAAAATAAAAAAAATCTTAAAAATTTATAGTTATTTTTTCTAAAGTTTTAAATTTTTGAAGAAAAAGATAAGAGTATTGTTTTTACAAGTTCTTTTTTATAGTAAAGTGTTTTTATTTTTGATTTTGTAAGTAAGTTTTTTTTATATTTATTTACAAAAATATTAAAAGTTTATTTTTAAAAAAAAAAACAAATATAAAGAGACCAAAGTTTTTAAATAGTAATGTTATTAAAGATAGTATATAAACTTTATTACAAAAAAATATAAAATTACTTTGAAATATCTATTTTTTGAATTGACAAAAAAATCAATAAAAAAAATTATAAATATAATAAATATATTTTTTTTTAATTATTGATATATTTTTGAAAAGAGCAACTGGCTATCATGTTTTATTTTATTTATTATATTTTCACTTGCAAAACAAGATATAATATTAATAGCATGATATATGCTTCTCTTTGCTAGAAAGAGTTTAATGCAAGACTCCAAAATTGGTCCAACCCCTGTACTCTTTTGATACCATTCAAGAAATATAGAAAAAAAGAAATTCAAAAATCTATATTATTGCCTTGAATGGCATCTAGTTACCTAGAATTAAATAAATACCTAAACATATGAAGATGCTGCAGCCAATCTATACAGGTTGACCTCCAAGTTATAATTAGGATTGATATGCCTGCTTTCCAAATATGACTTGATGTATAGCAAGTGGAGTAATGTTGGAGATGGTGAGAAGTGAATACCTTTTTGCATGAAGGTGTTGCAACCACTTTATATAGGTTTGCCTTCAAGTCACAAAAAGGATTTGGCATACCTATACTTCAAGTGTGACAGAAGTATCCTATAAGTGGAGTTTATATTGGTTTTCTCAATAGCGCTAGAATCTAACCTTGTACAATAGACCTACATTGTTTGAGAGGTAAGTGAGAAACTTCTGTTGTCATCACCAGCTCGTTTTCAGAGGTAACTAAAATCCCTGATCATCACATATTATTCTACTAGATTCTCTAATCACCAGTATAACACTTGCAACTAACCTAGCTTATTGTTAGTTGCATTGGCATTAACTGCTATTTCACTCTGGATACTGTGGGATACAACTCCTTGGGTACTTTCAAATAATAATAGTTGTACAAAGGTTTCTTGGGCATATCTAGTCTAATTGCCAATCAGTAAACAATATCAAGTTTAGTAATAATGACCATGTCGATTCTTTGGAGGGGTAAGCCATCCATCCTTTTTTTGAAAAACCATGGAAGAGAGAAAATTTCCTAAAGTCCATATCCTAAGAAAGATTACCACTTCTTAATATAATTCTTAAGAAAAGGAAGTCGACTAGCCAGAGGAGTAATATTATGGAGACAGAGTTTTCAAAAGAAGGAGAGGTCTAGAGAGAAAAACCTTCAGGAAAAAGGAAAAACCTAGCTTCGGCAGAAAAAAAAAAAAGAAAAGAGGAAGGAGAGGATATAAGATATAAAAAGAGTACATAGAAGAAAAAGGAAAAGATAAAGAAAGGAAAATAAAAAGATATGAGAAGAAAAGCATAGAGAGAAAGGAAAGAGAAAAATAGAGAAAAACGAAGAAAAAAGTAAACAACTCAAAAATTTTCTAAAAAGGAAAATTTCAAGTGTAGAAAAAGAAGTAAGAAAGAGTTTTTTTGTTTATTTATTAAATATTATATTAAGTTCTTATATAATTATAATATAAAATATAACTTTATTATTCTTTAAACTATCTATTAATTAACTTATTAATTTTATATCTCCTATATTATTAATACTATTGTTCTAATAGGTTTCTTTATTATTTAAACTTTTGAACCTATATATATTTCATATAGTTTAAAAATTATTAATAAATTTAATAAGGATATTAAGAAACTATATAATAATAACAATAATAATTTAATTATATTCAGAATTAAACTATTATTAGAAACTTTATCTATTTATTAAATACTTTATCAATTATATTCCAATCAATATTTAGATACTTTGTACTTAATAGACAAACTCTGTATCAAAAATATCCAACATATTTTCAGATACTCTGAAACCTTTAAAAAAGCTAAACAAATTATTAAACTATTAATCAAATTCTCTAATCAAACAATAATCAAAAACCAATTTCATATATATAACAAGTTATTAAATTATTATGTGATATTATAGATAAAATTTTTTTAATATTAAACTTCTTCAATTGAATTAAGACAATAACAAAAGTTTTAATTCAACTATATAATCTAATCTAAAAACTATATTACTTTATAATTAATATCTTATAATCTATTGAAATTAAATAGAATTCTAACAAACTTCTTAGTCTAATCTATTTTTCTAAATTTATCAATAGTTATATTTTAGTAAATAAATCTCTACTTGTCAATATTTCTTCTAAAGAAATTATTATTAACTTATTTACTATAGTCATTAATACTTTTATTTAATATAAATATAGCTACTTTAAATATATTCAAAACTTAATATTTTTATTATCCAATTCTATTTCTTTTAATATTAAATAAATATTTATAACTATTCAATACTATTTAATAAGATATATTGTTTTGAATTTTTTTTCAATATTAATTAAATAGTTATTATAAGCAAACTAGTATTTAATTCATTATATTAATATATAAAAGATATTGTTTTTTTTATGATATATATCTTGATATATACAAATCAAATAAAAAAATAATGTTTATCTATAAAAAAAAAAGTAATTGTAATATTTTTATATGTAAAAATAAATAAATAATTTTATTTTATTAATTTTATTTATTATATATTAAAAAATAAATATATAAATATAATTTGAAAACAAACTTGTATATTTGATTGCAATATCTTTATAAGTTTTTTTTTAAATTTTTTACTAGATATTATTAAAAAATATATAGATTTTAATAAATATTTTTATAACATAAATAATTAATAATAGAAATTTAAATAAATAAATTGATTTTTATATTTTGTATTAAACTTTTTCTAGCAAAAATAAATTTATATTAATCTAATAATTATAAAA